AATAGTATTTAATTTATGATTTAGTTTAATAATTATCAAAATCGTTTTACAATTAAATATATTTTATTATTTTAAATTGAAATGTTGAATAAAAATATAACAAAATTAAATAAATAGTAAGTAATTAGTAAATGATAATTTCATTTTTTTCGATTCAACTAATTAAAAGATAAGATAAATTACACATATAATATCTAAATTATTATTTTTGTTTAAATACTCAACTACTTTTTTTAATTCACACTCGTTATTTAAAAATATTAAGATGTATCATTATGAAATAATATCACATCATCGGTAAAAAAAAAAAAATACAACGTTTGGCCTTTTGCCTGTTCTACTATTAATGAAGCCCCGTTTCGCCTATTGCCTAACTGTATATGCCTCAAACCCCCCCACCCCCACCCAAACCACAACCTAACTATTAATGAAGCCCCGTTTGGCCTTTTTGCCTAACTAAAAATGTTCCAACTACAAAACAGGTCAATGCTTTGCTATAAATTTCCGGTTACATGTTGATATCAAATTTTGTTAATTTTTATCGATAATTAATTGATTTAATAGGATGAGATACTATATTTTTTTTAAGTAAGATCATATGTTTAAATCTTAAATTTACGAATGGAGCAAAATAGTTAGGAGAGTCGCCCCTATATTGGACATTTACATAATTTAATCTAGATTAATCGATCAATAAATCAAATAAATTATTTTTCCTTTTGTTTGCTATAAAATTTCGATTACATGTTGATATCAAAATTTGCTAGATTTTACCGACACATAGTTAATCAAATGGAAAGAGATACTAGATTTCTTAAGTAAGGTCAGAGGTTCGAACTCTGAATTGGCAAATAGAGCAAAATGATTGGGGGAGTCACCTGATATTGAACATTTGCAAAATTCGGACTAGATTAATCGATCAATAGATCAAATACCAATGATTAATTCAAAAAAAAGTTTACTAACTTTTTAAGATGTAGTGTTTAGAATTTAAAATTTAAGATTACAGTTTTATATTATAGATCTCAAAATTAAAATAAATCGTTGAAGTGAAGGTTGTTCTTATAAGAGTCATAAGTTGAATAGTTGTATCTTCAGGTTAGAAAGAATCTGAAAAGAATATTTTCTTAAAGTAGTTTCAAATTATTCAAAAATAAATAAATTTTGGAGTAATATCTAATTAAAAATATATGTATTTTATAAAATATATAGATTGATCTAGAACAATTAATTAATTGTGTTAATAAATTGAGATATATGAGGGTCGGCGCATCATTAATTATGCTTTTACCTTACCCCCCCCCCCCTCCCACAAATTAGCACATCTATTAAAGGAGTTAAAATTCAATAATATATACTAAATTACACAATAAACGATTACTCTTAATTATAAAATGATATATTCTTTTTAAAGAGACGCTTGGAAAATAATCCGGCTGTGTGATGTTGACTGTAATCCAATGTATGATGGTCATTTTAGAAAAGTCATCCATACGCTCTGGTTTAACGACTGATTGGGAAACTACACATGTACGAAAACTGCGTCAAGTCGACTCCACAGCTGCATCACTAGCACCGCAGCAAGATAAGTTGGAAAGGTTATAATAGAAACATTCTATCAATGTTTTAAACTTTATACACGACACATTCCATCACCTATTTTATTAAAAATTGAACTTTAAATATAATCTCGTTACCATATCAATCAATAAAATAACATTTTTTTTACATCTTAAAAAGATTTGGACATTGACACACAAGGAAATCTTCAATTACATTTTGTTTCCTAATACTATGGTGGTACCATTACAAAAATGGATATTTTATAAACACTAATTATAGTTAAACCAAAAATTCTAACGCCTTTGGAAATTCAACTTCTTAATGGCCATGGTAAAGATTGCTCCAAACAGTACATCGAAACCAAGAATAACGGCAGCAACTACTCCCAGAAAATCATGCCTGAAACCGAAATAACTTCTTATGTACTCTTTCACTGTCTGACCCTCGCCATCTTCAAGCACTTCGTTTATGTCACCGAACTGTGAAACCACCAATCCGTACAAGGTCCAAGATACCGGACAAATCCAATAGTACCATCTCCACCGTACTGGCATACTCTGTAATTGTTCAACAGTTGAAATGAGTGGGAAATCGAGTTTAGTCCTCGGGATTTATGCATCCAACAGATTTGAGATTCGAATCTCCTGTTATCACGTGCTGTGGGTTCATTGAACCGCATAAAAGATGCTGAAAACTTACAGGTCGTGGGATGATGAATCCTGAGAAGACATTCCATATACCATAGAATGCTGAGGAAACTATGGCTGCGATGTAGTGGTTTGGTGTGACAGCAACCGCCATCATGCCGTAGAAGGTGAAGTAAAGTAAGGTGAAGAACATGAAGAAGAGATACCAGAAGAACTTAGCAACGGTCCATTCGAATCCGATCACAGCATAGGCTATGATGCCATACACGGAAGCTTGAACAGAGATGTAAGGTATCTCAATTAAAACCTGCAATGAGAAAATGTGGAATCAATTATGATTTGCGTACAACTTTCTTGACGGTTTCAAGTATGTTAAAATTACTTTACCTGTGCAATGGCTTATGGCATGGCAGAATACATTCCGGCAGCTCTTTCTCTATAAAACACTGTCCTTTCAACGGCTACAACAGGCTGCACAGATGCAGAGTTTTGAATACCGATGAAAAGAACGGCAGCCTACATTGAACCCATTGCATTTGACAAATCTTGAATCTTTTTCCTATAATTTTATAATGCAGACAATTAGACATATGAAGCTGGCTGTTAAAAATCAACATTGAAGCATGAGTTTTAGGAATTGTATTGTAGCTTACGTTTTAGAACCAAGGTCCCAGAATACCGTCCCAAACATCACAACTATGACGGTCGTAAAGAGAAATCTCACGGCAGTATACGGGGAGTTGCACCAGTATGACCAGTATTGCTTCCAAAAACAAGCTGTACACTGAGTCAAGAATGATTGAGAGTACTGTGTTGGGAAATAGAGTTCCTTTGCAACTGGAGCAGGTTTGCTTAAATCTTCAATAAGAGCTTTGTTTCTCCTGAACAAATGGCATGCATCAGTAGCAAGGTACCAAGTTAACTAGACCACATATATGTCTTATATATGATAAACTAAAGTAATTAGTTGAATCAGATTACACCTTTTTGTTGCAATTTGGAGCCTGGATAGCTTATATTACCTGTGTAGGTCTGAGTTTCTGTAGATATCAGCAAAATCGACTCCTAAAGATAACTCCTGCGCTGACGTGGTAACTTCCAACATCCAAGTTGCTGGATTGTATCCATCTTTGATTTTGTTAACTCCTTGAATTCCCTGGAGGAGATGAACATTACAGTGTCGTGAACAGTTTTAATGTGAACCCTGATATGAATAAGTTTATGAATTTTGGAAACTGTGGTCTTTCATTTCACCACACCTCAAAATATTTGATAAGATGTTTTGAGTGGTGTCCTAGTGGCCCTACATATATCTCTTGTCCTCCCCGCTTCATAAGGAATAGCTGCGATTGCAAATTTTGTCTTAGTAACGCTATTATTAGATAAAGAACCAACTAAAACGCAGCCCCTTCTTTTGAAATTGGCTTTTAAGTTTCTCACCTCATCAAACGCTTCAAATATGTAGATACTTGGTTCATGGATGGTACACACAACTGTTCTTTCAGTGTCCACTGTATTCCTAACTGTTCTCATTACAATTGCAGCTGCTCTTGCATCAAGCCCTGAAGTTGGCTCATCCATGAAAATGATAGAGGGGTTTGCCACAAGCTCAACTGCAATAGTAAACCTCTTTCGCTGCTCTGTTGATAAACCGTTTACGCCAGGTATACCAACTAGGGCATGCCTTAATGGATTCAGTCCCACAAGCTCCATGACTTCCTCAATGAACATGTGAAAAATATGTGTTGAGATAAAACCATCAACTAAATGCATGCCAAAAGTGACTAGGAAAATGTTTTTTTTCTTCTTATTGGACTCTGTTGTTCAGGATATCAGTTTAGATGAACTGGCCTAAATACTCCATTGTCAACACAAGAAACAACTTTTATTAGAAGCAAGATGGCTGGTAAAAGAAAATGCTTTTCTTTTCAACTAAGTTATATATGTGTGGCTTTTATTTTAATCAATTAATCCTACTCGGTGGGAAATGGAGGGGAAAGAGAAAATAAGTTTTATCAAACACAACACTTCTCAACTTAAAGCATAGCCAATTTACTTATCTTAGTAAAACCTGTAATATGTATCAATGTTGAATAAGAGACATGAAATTCATAAATGCTTACCTTTCTGGTTTGAGTGTCAACTTCGTTGGATAATCGTAGCCAAGATGAATAAAGCAAGGATTCATACACAGTGACATGAGGAGAATGAATGTCATTCTGTTCACAGTATCCAGATACACGAGCAAATGTTTCTTGCTTCTTTGGGAAACCTGAAACAGTGATGTTCCCCTCTATATAACCACCAGTTTTTCTACCAGCAAGCACATCCATCAAAGTGGTTTTACCAGCACCGCTAACGCCCATTAGTGCCGTGAGAACGCCTGGTCTGAGAGCACCACTAACACCCTTCAAGAGCACCAATCTATCTTCAGTGAGTGACACCTTGTTTCCTACAAAGTTTGAATTCAATCAAATAAACTCTCATATATCTTGTCTACATTAACCTGGAAAAAGACTCAATCCAACCATTGAACGTATATGGTACTCGTATGTGGGACGTTATGTTACCTGTGGCATATCAACAGAATATACAATGTCATCAAATGTGAGGGAATGTGGCTCAAATGGAAGAACCATTCCCTTTTCCTTTTGCCGATAGCCCCAACAGTTACATCACTCATTGAAAAGGACTTCGATGAGATGCATTTTTTAATGTCATCTTGGATCTCTGCAAGTCAATTGAATTAGAATTGTACATAATGGCTTGTTCTCACACCAATTCAAATATATGTACCTTGAAGACACCAAGAATTTCAGGCTCTCCATTGTTCCCATTTTAGGCTTTTCCTGCAAACCAGTTGACAAGAACAAGAAACTCAGTATCATATATGTTTTGACCCACAATTTCACTCAGAATGCATATACAATGTAAGCATGAAGAACTCTCCTATTTGTGACATGATACAGTTGCAGCTACAAATAAATTGTTTTTTACTCATAGTTTTTACCATCAATTATAAAAACAAAACAAATTAACATTCGGATCAAAGTAAGCAGATCCAGGAGCCTAAGAGAACCTATGAAAATTAAAAACAAATATGATAAACATGAAGAATAGCTAGCCAATAGATTACCCTCTTCTTCTTGCTACGTGTGGGAAGGGGAACAAAATTATTCACCCACCAGTACAGAAAACAGATGGCTATCCCATCAGCACCACAATGCTCATCATTCCCTTTAAGGAGATGGCCCAACCATCAACTCCAGGACCCAGATTTTGCCTCATATTAGAGAAGTACTTGACAGTTCGACCAGAGAAAATGAGGGCAACATTTGCTCCAAGTCCAAACAGAGGATAGAATCTCTTTGCTTCCTCTACAGTAGTTATCTGTGCCAAAAAATGCAGTGGTATGTAAATACAGCTTTAGATTTCAAAATCAGATTAAGCACTCAGATTCGCAACTGATGCAAAATTTTCTTTTAGAGGAAATGACTAACGAGAAGCTTAGAACACAAGTAGTAGATTACAACAAAACATGTGAAGCAAATGGCAAATTCATAATAGCTTGAATTCTGCATGAATGAGCAAATAAAATGTGCAGATTCAATTAAGACATTGAAAGTTAGAACTTTTAGGAGTAACAATAAATTAGAAGATCATCATCGAACTTTTAGTATGAGATTTACTTGTTAAGGGAAATCAAATAAGAATATTCCCAGCATATCAGATTCAAAATATTTTAACTAAAGATATACTAATTTCTAACATCAGAATCAAAATATACAAAACCAACATGCTCATACAATCGTGCAGATGAATCACTACCAAAAGTGAATCCCATGTAGATAGTATAACTCACCTGATTAGCAAACCCCCAAAATAGAACAGAAATGACCACACTACCCTAAGTTCAGCCATGACATGGAACAAACAGAAACTCCAAATCCTCAGAATTGCAAGAGGACCAAGGAATCTTGGTCCAAGAACTGTAAGAAGCTTGTCGGCGAGTGCTTCAGGGTGGATGTAATTGCTGAGAGGATACAACAAAAAAAGATTATGAAAGGAACAATAACGGTGTAGAAAAGAGCCTTCTTTGACAACACATTAGCCAACTTTGTGTATAACAACATGAACCCAACTGCCATAGGCAAATTAACCCATGTCTTCAAAAATGGTATAATCTCAGCACGAACACATCCTTTGTGTCCCTAAGTATAGTGTAGTTGAAGAGGATGCAAAAGAACATTAACCCAAGTGGGATAATCTTCACGGGCTCAATATCCAAGAACTTCGGCTTCTCGGATTCGCCGGTCAAAGGCTGACCATCACCAGCTGCAGCAGCAGCCTCAGCCTTGCAAATGAAATTCTTCCCTTTCGGGAATAAACCATTTGGCTTTGCTACAACGCTTGGAATTCTTTTATAAGACAGGGATTAACCCATTAAGGCCTAAGGGTTTCGAAGCAAAAAGCCTCTGCTTTAAGCCTTGGGATGGGTTCAAAAGGCTTCCTGTTCCGGTCAGATTAGGTGGTAATGAAAGAATCCCTCCGGCTTTTAAAACAGCTTCCATGTCTCTCCAGCGGTTTCCTTCAAAAGAGTTGAGGAATCAAATCCCCCACAAAACCTTTTGCAAATTTTTAGAGCATATGAAGGAAGATTGAGAGATAAGTTGGCTGGCTGGAGTATGCAGAATATTGTTTTCTCGAAGAAAATGAGTACTATAAAAACAAAAACAAAAAAACAACCTTTTTATATTAAATGAACAAAATATCAAAACCCTAAGAAAAAACAAACATTTTTAAACAAAGTTAAAGAATTTTAAGCTTACAATTTCATTTCTTTTTAGTTCTTCAAAGGGTCATTCAGAAGAGGTTAAAAGGGGTGGCAGGGCGGTTAAACAGGAAGACAAAATCTTGCAAATTATAAGAGAACACATGGACGGTGAATGACTCGTTGATTTCTGGAGTGTATGAGTCAGAGAAACTGTGAAAAGATAAAATTAGAAAAGGGTATATTACGTCATTGGTCAATGAAGTTTGTGTAATTTTCATATTTTCCATTGAAGTTCAAAATGTTACAAAATAATCACTAACATTTTTTAAGGCACAATAGAAAATAATGACAAAATATTGGGGGTCTTTTTTACTATTATGCTATAAGTTAGGATGCAATTAGTTAAACTGATTCAACTTTAATTAATTCTCCAATCAAAATCTTATTTTTCATTGCGTTTGATATTTGCCTTTGGGTGGAGCGCTAAAGTCACATCCAAATAATAAACTAAATTCCTGGTTTTAAAGATTAAGCCTTGGAAACCCTAGTGATACATACTTAAGTATAATATTTGACCTGTGATAAAATAAATTATATTTACATGGTAATACGACAAGAGAATGAATGTCATGGTGATAGATTATATATAAAAAGTTAATTTAAAATAAAAATATATAAGGATCATGTTTATAAATAAGAAGTGATTAAATAGAAGATATTGTGCAGATATGCACGCTGCCATATTCCATTGATTGTTGATTCCATGTTTGAAGTGGGACATATGTATAAGCAGGAACAGGGCACGGCTTCGTTGCCTCAAAAGTCCCTGAAGGACACAATTTCATGCATATTTTTGGGGACATGACTCCAAGTTATTTAAGGGCAAAATCAAATAGAATAACCATAAATAGTGGAAAAGGAAAAAATATTTATAGACCCTCCTTGTCAGATATGATACAGTTTCAACCCATAAAATTAAAACTTGTCAGTATTTTTTTCTTGATCATCATTAAATTTAGGCTTAATTTTTAATTATTTATTTATCTCTGTATTAGAATTAAATTTCTCTTTTCTTCCACCTCTTACCTCTCTCCCATCGATAGTCACAATTACCATGGCCACCGTTTGACGATGATGAGCAGTTCAGCATTCTTTTTCATTATTCATAGCAACAAAAAGTTCTTCAAAGGTTTCCGCCACATAATTTTCATCTTAGCCTTTTTCCCCCTAATTTTAATTTCTACATTTTCTGCATTGTTTGGAGCTAAACAATGCTTTAAAACCATGAATCAAAATCAATCAGAACAACTCATCTGTCATAGCAGATGCCTGTATTGTCAAACTCAAAATCAACTATCGAAGAAAAAAAAAAGAGGGGTTTGGAAAGTGAATCCGATGATATGATTTGATTAAGTACCCTGCTGTTCTTGGTTGCGTAAGCCATGAACTAAGATATGTATATAGTTTCCGCAACACATCCAAGGAGTTGATGGTGTGATGAGCAGGAAAGCATTCTTTTTCATCATGGCGTAGTAAAACCGTAGCATGGATCTAAACAATGCCGCCTGGTAAGGCAGTGACTGGAAATTCTCCGTTGATTTCTTTATGTATATTCTATAGAAGAAGCGGTTAACATCGTCAATCCAAGGCTAACAGCCTTGCCTAAAGATGAAGCAATACATTTGTTGTTCAACGCGATGCTATGCGTGCAAATGCTATCGAAGTTCCCTCATCAACCCCAGCAGCAACTTCATTGTCCAACGGTGATTGTGGTTAAGAACACGAGGGAGTTTAGAGATTGAAGAAGAGGTGGAGATTTAATGTTGATATGAAAATAAATAAATAATTAAAAATTAAGTTTAAAATTAATGCCAATTAAGAAAAAATGCTGACGTGTTTTAATTTTATTGGTTAGGATCATATAATTTAAAGGCCCTACTTAGGCATTTGCACAATTTGTCGATTTGAATTAAAAACCATTCGTTCAAAGCCAAATTGCTTTTTATAATATAATGAAATCTAAACAGTTTATTACATATTAATATTACTTAATAAAATATAATTACTTATCGATGTAATGAAATGTAAAATTATTTAAAGAACGTCTACAATTCAAATTTTGAAGTAAATACAAAAGAATAAAATTGAATCCAAGGACAATTATTTTCTCGAGAAAAAATCGTATCGGACTTTATTTTTCTCTCTTTACATTTCTAATGTATATGTAGGCATAATAGTTTGGTGTTTGTAGATGCATGCATGTCTTGACTATGTAGGTCGACAAACCCAACAAATGGATCCACCGTCTCATAAATTGTGCTTTATATTCACCATGCATATAATTTTAGGAGATATATTTAATTAAAAGAAATAATAAAATTATTCCAAAAAAGTTACTAATAAATTTGATAGATTTATTTTAATAAGTGTAAAAGAGTTTGACATACAAGGGAAAAAAAATATAAGTGTTGTTGTTCATTGATTTTTCTAATAATACATTTAGAATGAGATAATTTAAAATATCAAAAGACACATATTTAGTGGGACAAAGAGAGTAATAAATAACAATACTCATTTTTTTTTACACTTACATGTCATACCTTTTACGTCTATCAAAATAAATTTGTCAAATCTACCAATCAATTTTTTAGATAATTTTGTTATTTTTCTCATTTTATATAACTTAATATGCAGACAGATTTATCTCCTACAATTATGGGCATGATCAAAATGAGATAAAAATAATAACGTATAGAAAATGATATTTTATTTATTAGTAAAGAAAAAAAATTAAACTTTACATAAAATATATTAAAAAAATTCTAATTTTTTTTATAAATTATGTGCGTATAGAAAATAAATTAAATAATTAAAGTTTAGGTTAGGGGTGACTTCCCGGTCAGGTCATACCTAAGATCCAATTGGGATTTATATAGGACTTTAGAGATTGTCTATAATGAGTAACGGTGGTGCGATTAGAACTTGACCTTACAAGCTCAAATTCATGAATTTTAACCACTTTTACCAACACTCATTTACACATAATTTTATCTACGAAGAGAAATTAAAATGATGTTAATTTGTATAATCTATATATTATATTACTTATGCTTATATATTTCTTTTTCACCAACAATTAGTTAGTTTAGTGAGATGAGACACTAGATTTCCTAAGCAATGTTAGGAGTTTAAATCTTGATATTTACCAATGAAGAAAGGAGAAATTGGGTTGCAAGAGTTGCTCTCTTCTCTGCAGTATTCGATTTAAATTAGTCTATCAATAGATTGAATATCGATGATTATAAAAAATATATATATATATACTTGTTTTTCTTATAAATATTATGGCCGTATTTGAAAGTAGAACTATAATTGATTGGAATGTTTATTAATGATTTCAATTTCTTGCAACCAAATTGTCTAGAGACGTAGTCCATTAAGGGTGGAAGGTGAGGAAGTTGAAGAAGTACAGGTATCACGGCTTAAATTCTTGACACAACTACCCCATATTCAATACGACCTATTCCTTTCTAACAGTCTCTCTCCCCCTTGGAATTGACTAACATTACCCCACCAACACATCCCCCCCTCCTTTCAATTGAAAGCAAGCAAGCAAACTTTCCATCACTTCACAACTAACTCCACTACCATAGGACACTCAAAAGCAAAGAAACTATAGGGGTCATTTCTCCGGCTATTTTACATAACTAACATCAATTTTCTTTAATATTCTCTTTCTGATATCATTTGATCAATATTTCTCGAAGTAGCACCATTTCTGTTGAGTTGGCAAAGGCGCGTCCCGGGTGACGCGCTTTACCCGTGTTTTCGCTGAGTTGGATGTCACGTGTGGAAGGCGCATCCCCGGGGACGCGCCTTTCGCCAGCTCGACTGCTTCCATTAAATGCCATAAATACCCCCATCCGTTTTTCCTAACTACCCCTCCTCCTCCCCTATATAAACCCCCTCAACCCTCCCTCATTCTTCACACCAAAATCATATTCTCCTCTCTTATATAACTCAAATTCTCCAACTATTTGAGTTTTAAATTTGTTATTAGTGGTAAGAAATTTATTTTTATGTTAGTATTTTTTTAAATAGTTATTATTTTTTATATTAATATATTTATGTAAATATTATTTTTTTATTAAAATAATATTTATATAATTATTATTTATTTAGAATTATTAATTTTTTTTGCTAATTATATTGTTTTGTCTACAGTTATAATAGAAAACGAAATGCTGTTGCGATTGGATATTGATCATATCTCCAGACATTTTAGCGATATGGTAATATTTTTATAATTAATGTTAATATTTAAATTTATTTTTATTTTAAAGTTATTATGAATTATATTAATTTTTTTTTTATAATGTATATTATTTAGGATACTGATCGTATTTTAGAGACTTTTATTAAAAATCCACGTATACCGACACCAGAACGTATTTTGCCATATTTGGCTTCT